CGGAAATGGACCAGACCACATCAGTCTACTTCAGTCCCAAGACTAGGCGGCCAAGACTTGTCATTATCCTCCCTTGTATTTATCCATATGTTGTAGATATCCTAATCATTATAGGATTAGGATAATCATCCCCTTTATTTGTAGCAATCCTTATCTCCTAAGGAATATGCTTTATTCTCTTGTATGTATATATATATGTAACCACGTGATTAATAATACTATGAGAGTTACAACCTTCTTTATTCTTTAACAATTAGATTATTATTAACCATAATGAAGCACTTTAAGACTGTCAGAATATTTTGTCGCTTTTAGATGTACTAATCTACCCTTAGGAATAGAGTATAACCTACTTTCGAGTTATTTATCCTTAGTGGGATTACAAGTTGGTGTCCGCTTTTTAAGTAAAGCTACTGACTTTTTCTCATAACTAATTATTGATTCTAAGCTTGCAGACATCGATGCAATGCACCTGGATAGAGTCTATCTATTGTGCATTTTTAGATTACAACTATGGTTTACCAACCCTCAAAGCCATCAAAAGATCATTATCTTCATTAGTCATTAATAACTAATATATATATATATATATATATATATATATGTAAGATATAATTAATAAGAATTGACTAATAATGAAAAATCCTTGTATTAAAAATAATAATAATAAAATTGAATAACTAAATAGTTATCTAAATTTATTTAGTCTTAAATATAAAAATTTAATAAAACCATGAATTCATTGCTAGTAAAATATTATCTTAGTGTACAGTATTCTCATGTATTGGAATTCTGTAGAACCATAATCTGATAAACAAACAAAACCCCTACTAAACAAAATCGAATAAGATCGAGTTAATTAGTAAAGTAAATTAAAGTAAGGTCTTAATCTAATCCAAGGGCCAAGGGGGGGGTCGGCGAGGGGCAAAAACGTCTAAGCAGATAGTGAATAATAAATTAAGAGATCAAACTTGTAATATTAACCAAACCCAAGGTTGTTTTAATTTGTAGAACAACTTTAACGTTTATATAAAGACCTATGAATCCCTTTGTGGTTGTAAGTAGCAACAAATCAAACATTCTTGTTCTTCACTTTACTCATTCCTTCTTCTTCTCTCGAGACTTTCCTAAAGACTTTTAATCACTTTCTTCTTCTTCTTCGTCTCTCGAGACTTTCCGGAAGACTTTTGACCTTTGATTGACTTCAATAAGCAGAAAATGGAAGGAAGAGGAAAAGTCAGCATGATCAACGGTGGAAATGGAACTAGGAGAGGTACCAGAGAACACAGTGGCCGTCCGATACCAAAGAGAGGGCAAGTCAAAGTTGGGATTTTACTTGGCGTTGCTAGTTCTTTTGCTTCTATCTTTGGCTCCACGAGAAACTTTCTTGGATCCTAAACTGCTGCTTCTCATCTTAAATATTTTTTTTATTTTCTTCAGAATGTTTATGTAGTTTATTAGAGTGAAAATCTCATATTAAAGATTGGCGGTCTTGTTTAGTCTCTAGGTTGTTTCTTTTCTTTTCGTTTCATCTTTTTTTTTGTACAAACCCAATGTAGTGTCAAGAGTCACTTGATCAATAGTATATATTTCATATTTAGTTTTAACATTTCATAGTATATAAAACAAATTAACACACGGTAAAAATTAGCATATGACCTAATCCTAAACACATCAATATAAATAACTAGCCCGCGGGCATTAGCTGTCAAATGGAAATAGCTACAAAGAAAAGAATTTCCGATGAGTCTTATTTTACTTTGCGAAATGACCAAATAATCTCCCTAATCAAATGCTTTGGTGATCCGGTTTGGTTCGGTTTTGGTTCAAGTGGCAGCAACTTCAGCATGAGTATCACTAAAAACCCGGTTTAGTATCATGGCTAGTCTAACCCCTCCTTGAACAATTCTCTTCATGACTATTGGCATCCTTGTATCAAAATACTCCTCTGCAAAAATTATAGATTTGCGAAAATTCAGATTTATATTTTCTTATTAAACTCTAAATTAATTGTGTCCCTCACAATTTTATTTGGTTCTTTTGTTTGCGTATATAAGATAAAGAAGAAGCAAACATTCTGTACCTGATAAGGTTTCACCTGACTTCACGCCTTCGTAGCCATACTTACAAGCTAACTGTATACTCTCAGAAGCATACCTGCAAATACAATAAGGATTATCCATTTTATCTATTTTTTTTTTGGATCGATAGTTATCAGCCTAATTAATTTAATCTTACTTGTGTGGACAAGCTATGAGATCATTGCATTCTGTCCACGAAGATAAATCGTCATGCCACAATCCCTAATATAGGATAAATCATTTATATAACTCACGTTAAAGAAATGATTATATGAAAATTATAGTAAACAAAATATATATATATAAGTAACTAGTTAGTACATTGGTGATGTTCTTCTCAAGATCTTCTTGGAGAAGATCCAAGTCCTTGTCGTAGTATTCTTTAAGAGCCGTGAGAATGATCTCTCTGTCCCATACCTTCACATTTTCCTCATTACGTAATCCTTTTGTGTAATCAAATTCTTCAAAGTTGAAAGAGTTAAAAGGAAACTAAGCTTACATGATGTAAATTTGATTTGTGTTTGTACCAACGTAAATCTATTGTGTTTCCTCCTTCATCACTTGTGAATCCGACATGCATCGGCTTTTATGTAAGGAAAAGATATAACTATGTTACAAACTAATTAGACTAAGAAAATATAGCTATATATATGTGGAATGATGAGGAATTAATAAACCTGATGAATATCTCCCATGAAATGAGACAAGAACAAAAGGGCTTCAGTCATGTTATCTATGAAATTGAACATGAAGAGCATGTAATCAAAATAAAATAATCAGAGAAAATAGAAAATTAGACGCATCAAGAATTAAATATTTTTCTTGAAAATTAAGGATAACTATATAGATTTAATATTTGTATATCATTATTATAAAAAAATAAAAATAAAGATAACGTACATCGACGATCGGATGTTCCTTCACCGTAATGCTGAAGTTGAGACGTGAAATTTTGGATTGCTCCATCCACACACATATCCTTTAACCCATGTTGATCATGACAATCCCCTGTTTTATGTATCAAAATTCGGTTTATTTCACCTTGTTCCGTATGATAAAATAAACCGGTTTTTATCGTAGAACTTGAGCACTGGTTTACTACGGTTAAGACCAATATAACCAAACAGATATAGTAAGCTAGAAACAGCTACGGTTTATGGCTTACTGGAGTATTCGTAAGAGCAAGATTTGTCGGGAGTGTCGATGAAATGGAGAGGGCTGGTCCAACGATACTTGTACCAATGTCTGATCTGGTCTGGCCATACACATAGTGCCGATAAATCTCCATTCGCGTAATCCGGTAATAGATTCTCTACGATATGTGCCGGTCCTGCTTCTAAGAGTTTCTGTTCAACACAACATAAAATACACAAGGACTTTTGTAAGAACTACCAAAGAATCTTTAAACTTGTTATGGCATAACATCCCAAATAGCCTAATCATCTATATAAAACAATAAGCAAACTACTTGTTTAAAACCCAAAAGATCATTAACTTACTTGAGCAATTCGGCACGTAAGAATATGACCTTCTTTACTCCAACTTTGGACATGAGAAACAGAACACAGAACCAATACACCAAATACAAGAATCAACCTTGTGGATGATCTAAAGACCGATGCCATATCTCCAAACTTCAAATCTCTTCTTGTTTACGAGTGTCTTCTCTATATTCTCTTGTTTACAACAACTTGATAGAATTTGCAAACAGGAACACACAGAGACATATTATAAATGTAGCGAAAAAATAGACTTACAAGCTAAACTTATTACAAGTAATAACATAATAAAAGATGTTGAGTTTGTGTGCAAGCAAGACATTGCTAGTCTCATACGTTCCTATCGTAATTAAGGTTGACAACAGGAACACGAGATATACAACGTTAAGATAAAGTTATCAAATTAAAGCATATTCCTCAATTGTTAAAGTATCTTCTAACATATAGGAATTTGTGTTCAGTATATCATTTCCTTTCTCTTGTTGACCTAACTGATATATCCATTGAACATAACCATGAAAAACCTAAGTCAATTTAACATTTTCTTTTCAGTAAAAATCATTAATTTGTGTGTTCTATTTCTGTTGATCTATTTTAAAATCCAAACCGAAATCAAACCATAAAAAGAAGGAAAAAAAAGCTAAATCTTAACCAAACCGGTCAAAGTCATCTAGAAACGTTGACTTTAAAAACCGGTCAACAAAGAACAGCTTGTGGTTCTTCACTATTGAAGAATAGTAATAGCATCAGACACAACACGGTGAAGTTCTCTTCTTGAATCGTTCATTCTTCGTCGACAGACATCACCTCCTTGTCTGAAATCAGGTTTGAATCTTCCTCTCTGCATAAAGCTTCGATCTTTAAGTGACCCTCAAGAGCTTCAAAAGAAAAAGTTGTCTCCTTTAAGCTCGATTCACCTCTGTCTTCGTTTTGATTTCGAATCTTTTAGCTTCTTAATGAATAATTAGATTCTGGGTTTCTCTAGAGTCTAACATCTGATTGAAAAGTCAGAAACTTTGTTAACTTTGTATGGTTTTTGCTCTGCAGAATGGTTGATTTGTCTACTCTATCTCCTACGGAGATCACAGTGATGGGATCCGTGTTCTGCGTTTTACTCTCAATGCACTTCACGATGCAGCTCATTTCCCAACATCTCTTCTACTGGAAGAACCCTAAAGAACAAAAAGCCATCCTCATCATTGTTCTCATGGCTCCTGTTTACGCTATCACTTCCTTTTTGGGCTTGCTTGATGCTAAAGGAAGCAAAACCCTTTTCATATTCCTAAACACCGTTAAAGATTGCTATGAGGCACTTGTAAGTTCTTTACTTCTCCTCTCTCTCTCTGTTTCTCTCTATTGACTGTTTCTTGATTTGTTGTATTGATTTTGATTGTTTTCAGGTCATTGCTAAGTTCTTGGCGTTGATGTGTAGCTACGTAAACATTTCCATGAGTGGAATGATTATCCCTGATGAGATTAAAGGGAGAGAGATTCACCATTCGTTTCCAGTGACTCTATTTGTTCCCAGGACTACACATTTAGATCACCGTACACTGACACAGCTCAAGCATTGGACGTGGCAGTTTTGTATTATCCGCCCTGTGTGTTCCTTCTTGATGGTATCACTGCAGCTTCTCGGGATTTATCCACCGTGGTTGAGCTGGATCTTCACTGTTACTCTAAACCTTTCGGTATATTTGGCTTTGTATTCTTTGGTGAAGTTTTACCATGTTTTTGCCAAAGAGTTGGATCCTCATAAGCCGCTTACAAAGTTCATGTGCGTCCAAGGGATAGTCTTCTTCTGCTTTTGGCAGGTATGTATACATAGTTTCTAACTTTTACTTAGTTGTTTGGATCATATGATAGGACATGGTGTAGCGAACCA